GATGTTGATGATGGTGATGGTAGTGATGATGATGACAGTGGTAGTAATGATGATGATGATGGTGGTGGTGGTAATGATGGTAATGATGGTGATGATGATGGTAGAAATATGGACGTCATTGATAGTAACAAACTGAAGACTCTAAATAGAATATCAAGTTTTGCCGAAAATTCAGTTTCAGTCAAAAAACAAATCAACAAATTTTTTACATAAATTAACTATGATAGCTAAGTTATTCATATCAATTATGTTATTTATGTATATTATTTATATCAATTATAATAATTATGTAGCCAAGCCAACTTCACCCTTGTAAGCTTTTGATCAATTATTTTTGAATTAATTATGTGTATTATATTGTTTATGCTGATTCTAATTTGTTCAGTGTTACTTAAACTAATTAATTAAGATAAATATGTTAGGTTTATTCATTATGCTAATTATGCAGCCACGCCTACCCAAGACAAAGGCCTTTTCTGATTGGTCCGCCCTGTTCTCGCTGTAGCAGCAACATGTTCATGTGCAACAAGAGCCTTTGCATGCCGAGTTGTTATTATTATTATTTTTATTATTAATACTGTTGTCATTATTGTTATTATTATTTTTGTTGTTGTTGTTGTTGTTGTTGTCGATGCTTCATGTTGTTGCGTGCATGCGAAAATTATGACAAGCGGCCTCGTGAACGTTCCCTCAAATTCAGAAGAAACACTGCAGAGGCTGCCACAACGATTTCAACAACCACAACAACAACATCAACAACAACAACCTCAACCACAACAACAACCTCAACCACAACATCAACAACAACAACCTCAACAACAACATCAACAACAGCAGAAACAACCTCAACAACAGCAGAAACAACCTCAACAACAACAACTACCTCAACAACAACAACATCAACAACCACAGCAACAGAAACAACGACAACAAGCACTCAAGTCAAACACCAACCAACACATAATAAGTGGCGTGAAGGGGCAGGCGCGGACAATCAACGCATGCTCAACTAATTTTGAATATTCATTTATGTTAATTAGCTCAATTATGTTAATGAAGATTTAAATAAACATTAGCTACGTCTATTAGCATAATTTATATTAGAAAAAGCCGAAATATTCAACGAATTATTGTGTCGGTTCATTTATGTTACATAATAGGATTATGTAGATGAGGACTTGATTTCAATATTCTTGATGAATATGCATTTATGTTAATTAGTATAAATAAATACGTAAATGATGGCTTTAATTTAATATTCAGTACGTAAGAAACAAACGTATGCTAATTAATTGGATTGTATTGATTGGACGAATCCGACAATGATAATAACAACGACAATAATGATAATGATGATGATGACGTCATTGAAAACAACGGTGGTGACGATGACGAAAACAATGATAATAGTAATAATAATAATGATAATAATAGTAATAATAATGGGAACATCTTTTATTTTTCACCATAAAAAACATACAATGATAAATTTATATATATATATATATATATATATATATATATATATATAATTTAATGTTAATTAAATAATGCACAATGATAAAATTTGTAAAAATTGTATAAAATAATATTAAAGGTTAAGACCATTTTGCTCATTGTGAAGTTAAGAGCAGAACGGTGAAATATATTTAATTAGCATCATAGCTTGTTCCTGTCACAGTAAATGTCATACGATAATCTTATAACAGTGTTTATCAATTTATCATTAAATGATAGCAGCCATGGAACTTTAAACAAATTAAAATTATTGTAAAAACCAATAAGCGTCATTTCGAATGAGTTTATGACTATTGAACAATGTTTATAGTCTTTATTTAAACAACAATGCAAATTATTAGAGTATTTATTTCTCTTGTATTGCCTGGAGGATTCTAGATTGGTTTCATGGCACACAGTTAATTCTAGAATCTCAATTTTGTTATTTTGAAGTATGACGATATCGGGTCGTAAAGTGTTGAATAATTGAGATATTGGGCGAATACCCTCAGACCCTAAATCTGCAAATATGCGGCAATTGGCTGGAGCGAATATTTTCAGCCAATTGATGATCACGGCCAATATCCTGTTGTGTCTTTCGGCATATCTTGCCAGAGCGGATGTAGAACTACAATTGGAAACTACGTGCTTATTTGTCTGTCGAGAATCACAGAGAGGGCATTGAGGGCTTTGCGTTTTACCCCATCTAAACAAATTTGCGTTAGTAGGCAACTGCTGGATTAAATACTTCCTAGCAAATTTGTAGAGGACTCCGGCAAGATTTTCCGTGGACTTTGACCAACGGGATATGTTGTTGGCTTTGATGAAATTTTTTATATTTGAAATTAGTGAACCTTGACTCTGCAGCGAGAAAACATGATTTAAGCTACATTCAATTCTTTTTTCTTCCAAATGACTAAGCGACGACTTTATTTGGCCATATTTTAAGAGCGTATTATCTACTTTGATAAAATCGATCTCTGATTCTTTATAGAGACATTGAATCTCTTTGTTGCTATTAGTTTTAAAATAGTTCCAAATTTTCAGTCTCAGTTTTTCTGTCGCATCTTTTAATGAAATGATGCCATGACCTCCCATTGTTGTTGGCAGAGAAAGTAGTTCAGACACACAGCCGCTGATTGGCATATCTATTGTTTTTGTCTAGAAAATTGTATAGTCTAGATTTTATGAGAGCTGAAAAGATTTTGTAGAGTACCGGTTGCAGTGTGATCGGCCGAAAATTTGCTGGGTCGCTTGCATCACCTTTTTTGTGGATTAAAACTGTTAGCCCCCAACGCCAACATTGTGGAATTGTTGTTGATCGTCAACACATTACCAACAATTTATGTAGATACGTCCTTATTATTGGGCATCTTTTGAGATGGAGATGCCTTTGCTTTACTTTTACGAACAATTGTTGCAATTTCTTTATAGGATGGCGGATCCAAATTACCCTGAAATGAAGGAGCAGGAAGTGATTTAATCCAATTAGGGATGCGAAACGTTGTGCGATCGCCAGCGTTCAAGGTGTTTTTGAAGAAATTGGTGGCAGCTTCGGTGCTGAGGTGTGGAGATTGCAAAGTCGAGTTTGAAAAGATGTTGTTACATGTTTTCCAAAAGTTTTTCTTTAGTTGAGAAGAAATGTTGTTGTTATCATTTTTTAGTATTTTATTTTTATTGGTTTTTAGTATTGCCCTAATCTGTTTGCTCAGCATACGTATTTCATTGTTGAATTGAGTGTCGATATGAGCCAACGATTTTAAATTTCTCAATTTTGTTTTTAAAGGCCTAATATCACGATTTATGTGCTCAACAGGTTTTGATATCATTTTTAAAGTGCCACAGTTGGCAGCAAAATATGAGTAGATTGCCTCTTGGAACCTGTTAGCGAAACTGTCGATATCTGTGATAGCGTCTAGACATCTAAGTTCCAACTGAAAAAATGTGTTGGCCTCAGACCACTGAGTTGATGATTTGGGCAATTTTATTCCGGGTATTGGCTTTGGAGTAGATGTTGAAGTTGACGTGTGTTGAAATATTGGCTGACTGGTTGCGTCGCTGTCGTTTGATTCATCTTCCTGAGTTACTGGCTTGAGAGATTTGTATATTTTACACGACCTCTGGTACATTGACAGTCCTTTTCGTCCTTTGCATGACTTTCCACAACAACATGACAGCGAATTATTTGAATTATCCGGTAAAATATTGTTATTATTAATTGTCAGTAAATTTGGAGAAATGTCAATGTTACAAAATATTTAAATTTGAGTAAAATATGTTAGGTGAAATATTTATATTTGAGTTTGAATGTATATTTGTACAACGCCAGGAATGTCTGTTAACAAACTTAAAATCTTCAAAACAATGCGGACATAATGAAATTATGAAAATTAAACCATTAAATTTAAAATATTTATTAAAACCAAATTCTAAAAACATATTTGTGTTCCCCATAATTTTTCCGACAATTTAATACTAAAATTAAATATATACAACGTCAATAAAACTTTAAATTGCTAAAAAACAGTAAGCCACGTAAAAACGACTATCTTGTTTTAGTAGTTGAAGTAGTAATAGTAATGGTAGTAGTAGTGATGGTGGTGGTAGTAGTAGTAGCAGTAGTAGTAGTAGTAAGTAGTACAACTACAGCAATAATAATAATAATAATAATAATGATAGTTATAATAATGATGATGACGACGTTGTGAAATGTACTGACGAAGGATGGCAAAAATGTACTTTCGGTAATCCGTTTTACGTCTTTTTTTTTATCACGAAATTCATTTTGACGATTTTGCTGTTGGCTGTTGTTGTTGTTATTATTATTGTTATTTTTTCGTTATTATTATTATTATTATTTTATAATTGTTGCTATTATCATTATTAACCATGTCAATTATTACAGGAGAAACTCGTCACATAATTTTTACTCGAACAAATAAACAACCCGCCAATAAATAAATTGGCTCGTCACGTATAGCTTAGCTTATTATCACTACTATAGCTTCCTATTATCACTACTACTGCTACTACTACTACTACTACTACTACTACTACTTCTCCAACTACTACCAATAATTTTACTATACTGCTACTGCTACTACCACCAGCATCACTACTACTACTACTTACTACTACTACTACTGCTACTACTACTACCACCACCATCACTACTACTACCATTACTATTACTACTACAACTACTACTCTTTGCACTCTTTTTTTATTATATCATTTTTACTACCAGCACTACAAAGCAGTAAAAGTAGTAGCAATTTAGTAGTTGCAATGAAGTAGCAATATTCGAGTATTTATTATTATTATTATTATTAGTAGTAGTAGTAGTAGTAGTAGTAATAGTAGTAGTAGTAGTAGTAGTAGCAGTAGCAGTAGTAGTAGTAATAGTAGTAGTAGTAGTAGTAGTAGTAGCAGTAGCAGTAGTAGTAGTAATAGTATTAGTAGTAATAGTGGTAGTGGTAGTAATAGTAGTAGTAAAACCAGTAGTGGTGGTTGTAGTAGTAGTAATAAAAGTTGGACATGGGAGAGTAGTTTTAAATCCGTTGTTAGGAACGTGGTTGTCTGCGATCAATAATAATTAATAATAATAATAAGAAAAATAATAATAAGAAAAATAATAATAAACATTAATAACAATAATTAATTGTAACTGTAATAATAATAATACTAATAATAATAATAATAACAATGGTGATAATGATGTTGACGATGGCAATTAAGATGAAGATGAGGAAGGAGTAGAATTATGATGATGATGAAAGTGATGACGACGATGATGATGATTGTGATGATGACAAAGACGATGATGATGGTGGTGGTTGTGATGGTGATGATGACGATGACGATGATGATGATGATGACGATTATGATGATGATGGTGAATATTTATTCATCTTCCAATCACCATCCTCAACATGTAAGATTTCTGCCCTCATATTTCTTACAATGTGTAACCATATTTCGTTTCATTTGTTGACGTCTGAACAATTCGATCATTATCGTTCTCCCATGCATTTTGGAATTATCAATAAATATTTTCAAGCGTTTTTTCTATATTTATTTGTTTACTCAAATTCAATCATTCGTTCGTTTTGCTCTCGATTATTCGTTCGTTCATTCGTTCGTTCGTTCGTTCATTCATTTGTTCACTTATTCATTCACTCGTTCGTTCATTCGTTCGTTCGTTCGTTCCTTCGTTCGTTATCGAATATTATTCACTTATTAAGCCTGAAAAAATATATATATAGTACGCAGATTTACCATTTGCAACAATACTACTTGAGAGGAATTTCACACACACACATCTACACACACACATCTACACACACATCTACACACACATCTACACACACACATCTACACACACACATCTACACACACACATCTACACACACATCTACACACACACATCTACACACACATCTACACACACACATCTACACACACATCTACACACACATCTACACACACATCTACACACACACATCTACACACACACATCTACACACACACACACTAACACACGCATACACACACACGGTTACGCACGCACAAAAATATGAAATTGTCACCGTGAATATCGCGTGTTAAAGATATTCTTATGTTTCCCGTAACAGAAGCTTTATACATGCGTGCATATATGTATGCATGTACAATAAGTATTTAAATGCCTACACGTGTTTATACAACAGGTCCTTAGTAAGCCTCACATATACACATATTATTACATTGTTTCATCCTGGTATTTTTAATATTTACCGAGGTATTTTTAGTGCGTGTGAGAGTTAGTGTGCGAGTATGTGTGTGTATCTGTGCGAGTATGTGTGTGCAGCCTGTTTCTCTCTCTCTCTCCCTCTCTCTCTCTCTCTCTTTCTCTCTCTCTCTTTATCGATTTCTCTTTCTATCTTCCTTTTTTTCATTTTTTCTTATTGTCCGCTTCTCTTTATAGCCTGTGTGCGTGTGCGTATGTGCGTGTGTGTGTGTGTGTGTGTTTTGTGTGTTTGTCCACCGTACAGGAGTTTGTATAAATGAAGAATTTCGTTTGATAACTGCATTAGTAATAATCGGTTTCGGTGATTTTGCATTTGTCGGTTCGAATATCCGGTCGTGAGGTGAGTTGCACTGCTGGGGGGTTTATCATTATTGCGAGAGTTTCAACTCTAAAATGTGTTCATTGTTCACAATGTTGATGATGAAGTAAATTTAATCGTGTAGATAAATTATTAGTGTGTGGTTGATTGAATTATGTTGAAAAATTAATAGATCATATGGTTTAAAAGTTAATCGACATTCAAACATTCTCTGATTTGTTTTACCAACGAGTCATTTAAACTTTAATCTTTAATAAATTATTTTGAATCAAAAAATTAATTAACTAATTATAAAATTACACTTTCACTCATTCGCTCACCTACTCACTCACTTAATCAATCACTCACTCAATCACTCACTCAATCACTCCCTCACTCACACACACTCACTCATTCATTCACTCACTCACTCACCCACTCACTCACTTACTCACTCACTCACACACTCACTCACTCACTTACTCAATCAATCAATCACTCAATCAACTCACCCCCGGAAAAAAGAATAAATAATAAACATTCACCAGATGCTGCGTGTGAACTTGAAGTTCCTGGCGATCGTGGCACTGTGGTCGGTACCACACGTCGCCTCAACCAGCAGCGACAGACGTGATGTTAACAAAAGATCTCTACCATCAAACTCCGAACAGAAGACCATCCTCAACGCCCACAACCAGGCCAGATCCAAGGAAGGAGCTGCCGATATGAAAAAATTGGTCAGTCGATTGCATTAATTAATTAATTAATTAATTAATTAATTAATTAATTAGTAACCCAATTATTGAATGACCCATTTTGACCTGTTTTATACCATTTTCTATTTTATTATCGTTCTTGAAATTTCTTCACTTCCCTGTAATTCTTTCGTTTTGTAACAAGAAGAGTTAAGTAAATTATTTTCAATTTTTTTATTAACTTTTAATTAATACGCTAATTTATGCACAGAAATGGAACAACCAATTGCAAGCGGCCGCCGATGAATATTCCAAACAGTGCGTGTGGGCTCACGGCGATCTGGAAAGACCCGACCTGCCCTGGGTTCATTTAGGTCAGTTCATTAATTTTATGTCAAAGTGGAAAAGGGAAGACAAATTTAGGTTAAATGAAGCTAGTCCGTGAGACCCTCCAACTTGTGTGCGCTGAGTGTGCATCTCATGGTCAGATGGTTTCAACTGAATGTAAATTTTAAAATGACTGAAATGACTTTCGCTTGTGACCACCCGTCGAATTTCAAACTGTAACTGCCTCTCTCATAGGAAACCTCACTTGATTGAAAGCCACAGTGACGTCACACATTTGTCACTCTTCATAGGAGGTCATATTAATTTGTAGGCAATTATTGAACATGTTTGGTGAAGTATAAATAAATTAGAAATGCAACGACAGGACTGCATTTAAACCAAATGCTATATTCCAGTCCCAACTCTAAATTCCATGCATTTCATCACTATTACTATCACCGACATCAGCATCAGCATCTTCCTCATCATAAACATTCTCGATATCATCATCATCAGCAGCAGCATCACCAATCACGACATCATCATCATCACCAGGTCAGAACTTATACTCGCAAAGCTTAGGTTACCCACTGGACCTCAACAGTGTGGTTTCCAATTGGTACTCCGAAAAAGCAGGTTACGATTTCGACACCAAAACTTGTAACATGAGCATGTGCGGCCATTACACGCAGGTCCGGTATTATTCGGCTTTTTTATTTTTGACATTAGTCGGTATGTCCGATAATTATTATTATTGTTGTTGTTATTATTATAATATTTTATTATTATTATATTACTTTAATTTTTGATTATCATTGACAATTATTGTTTTTTTCATTTTATGTATGTTTTACGATGCAAATAAAAAAGGATTACTGTTATTGTTCGATATTTATCGGTGTTTACATTGAGATTATTTGGTTTTGATTTATTATAATTTGAGAGGATCTGGTACTAACCTCATTATTTTAATATTGTTTGGTGTTAGTTAGTGATTAGATCGTTCGAGCGGTTCTCATCTTAGCATCGTTTGGTGATTATTTTGTGGTCGATCGGTCCTCACAATTGTGCGATCCGATAACAATCGGCGATTATTTTGAGAACAGTCAGTCGGCATTAATTTTTGTAGTGTTTGGTATTTATTGCTAATGAAACTTCTTAAAGATCGCTAAGTATTAATTTTGGTAAAGTTCGACATACATCGGTGCTCATTTTAAAATTAGTCGCTATTAATCTTTGCACAATTCGATTTATAAAACTTTATAACTAAAATTATTTTTTATGATAATAATAATAATTATAATAAATATAGTTTTTATTATTATTATTATTATACCAAAAAAGGTGGTATGGGCGAACACCTCAGAAGTTGGTTGCGCGTGTAATGCTTGCCCCACGCTGAAGGTACCCGACGGTGCCGACATGACGAAAATGTTGCTCGTTGTCTGCTACTACGCACCTACGTGAGCTCAGTCTTTCCGTTCTATGAAGTTTTGATCAGTTTAATAATAACTAACTGTTATTATTATTATTGCCATTTTTGCTATTATTATTTGTTACTGTTATTAATGATTTGTCGGCGAGCTAGCTCGGTCGGTAGAAGTGCCATGTCATTGGTTGTCGTTGCGCAATGGCCAGGTTCGAATACCGTCTGCCCGGAACTCAAGTCTATCATAAGCCACTGCATATGATGAGGTGCTTGCGCCTGCAAAAGTGATGTGCATATGTCGTGTGGTGTGGCAAGTACAGCTCATGTTCTGGCGCGAAAGTTTAACTATGGATATAAAATTATGCGTAGTTCTGACTCGTAACATAAGACAAACAAAATTATTATTATTGATGTTGTTAAAATACTGCTAATAATACTATTGTTACTACTAAATACTACCAATCTAATAATAATAATGATAATAATAATAATTTTGTTGTTGTAGTTGTTGTAGTTTTGTTGGTGCTGTATGTTATGCTATCATGGCTTCTATTAATTACTTTGATTGGATTGTTGGACGATGTTTGCCTACGGAGATTTCGAGTTTGTAAAGTTATTTGCGTGATGACTGGCGTTGATGTCTAATATTGGAGGAGTGTATATGGTGATGCAATGTGATGGTGGTGCCATGGTGGCTGAGGAGGTGATTTCTGATGGTGCCAATTTGTTTGTTTACCGTCAAATGAATGTTTGTTGTAGTTATCCGGCAGTCATCATGGGCATAAATACAGGCTTTACGAGAAATACTACAACATTTTCAAAATATTTTACAGCCTTTGTTAACCACTGAAAAATTTGTTAAATGGAAGAATGAAGTCAGAGCACGAACCTGTGCAAACGAGTCGGAGTTTATGTATGACCAGTGTTTTGGAATGAAGCCGGGAAATCACACCTGATGACTGCAGAAACTATGACAATCCCTTGAAAAATTTCTTGAATAAGGCGTTGTGTGGAGTTGATTTGAATGAGGAAAAATGCATGTATTCCCAACGCGATTTGTTATATTTCTAAAAAGACAAATAAACATGCTTAGTTAGCATCCTACAATTGTTGCAAAATGTTTTAGAGGTGTAAAATATTTTGGATAAGTTGTAATATTTCTCGTAAAACTTGTAAAAAAATTCATCGGAAAGCTGAAGATTGAGGATTGCAGTCATCCTTGAGGACGTGGTGGGATGCGAAGTTTTAATGTCCCGCTCCCCTCCGCCAGTTACTGGCACATAGTTTTTAATTATTTGTAAGACTTTTTATAAGTTTTGCTCATGTTATGTGTGATGTTTCCACGGCACAGAATGATGTTGCTGGTGTCACGGCTGCTGTGCGCGTTGTTTTTGTCTTTGTTTCTGCTTTTGTATTCTGCACATTTTTATATTTATATAAATAATTATTTTATTTCACTCTAATATTATAATGACCATATACATCAGAGGAAATTACAAGGAACTACCCCTGTATACAAAAGGTGCGGCCTGCTCCAAATGTCCCGATGGCTTCAACCAATGTGACAATACACTCTGCAGTTCCGGTAATGTTATTACGCGTCTTTGGTCATCAGTTTTTTGAATCTTTAGTTTGCCGATTATTATTATTACGGTTTTCAGGGTTTATTTATGGTTTATTTATTTTTGATAAGCTCTCATGATTCATTATATTTCTTTCAGAACTGTCTCAGTCATTCTTGTCATCATCATTAAAGTCATCTCCATATCATCAACATCGTCATCATCAGTGACAACATCTTCAATACACTTTTTGCAATACTATTAACCATCATAATATTTCAGCAATTATCTCACCTTCAGTACGAACGTTGTTTCAAACGTTACTAAACACACTCCAATTACAAAAAAAGCCTTAAACTTATCTCCAACAGTCTTACTGTTACTGGCCTAAGTAAGGCATGGTCCTTACTTTCCCCTCTCATCTTAGAAATCTCGAAGTCTTATCCCAAATCAAATTCTCATTGCGGCGTTACTTGACGTCCCATCGATGGCCACACCTCCTCATGACTCTATTAGGTGTGGTTCTCTTTGTGTATGATAGTGTGTGGGTGAGTGAGTGAGTGTAGGTAAGCAGGGATGTCAATCAATTATAGGTACATTAAAAGCTATTGTTTGATCAGTGATTAATTATTCCATCAAATTGACCAATAGTGAAAATTAGTTTGGAGATTACAGCAGAAGATTTTAACTTATCTTTGGCTTAATTTTCATTGTTGCCTACCATCTTTTTAAAGTGTACAGTTTAGTGACGCGAGGTGTGGCATGTGGCATGTGTGTGTACCGACAATTAGTTCGTCCTTATTTTAATTTGTAGTCGCTGAATTGACATTGCCACGTAATTCAAACCCACGTCATCATCTCTTGTTGTGATCATTAGCTTTTGTAATTAGGTAACACGCCTAATAAGGTAGCATTGTTACAAGTAACTTTTTACTATTCTTTGCTTCCTTTGAATGTAAACAAATGAATAAAATAATAATAACCACCATCATCAATAACATCATCACAATAATTAGCATCATCATCATCATCATCATCATCACAACCACCAACCCTCTGCTCGTCATCACCATCAGGAGCAGGCGATGGAGATGTTGTAAGCAACATGATACCGTGCTCAAATGCAAGCAACAGGATCAACTTTTCACTCGCGTCACTGATGATGGTGGTGGTGATGATGATGATGAGGATGATTTGATGATGGAGATGATAAGAATGTTGTCTAGCCATGAGTGTAATGATGCTGTCTCGTTAGTGATATTTTGACGACGATGATAATGTGCTGGTTTTTATTATGATGTGTTTGTTGTTTCCAAAAGGATGTTGTAATTTTTGTGATGATGGTGATGATAATGGTGATGATGATGATGGTGCTGCTGATGATGGTGATGATGATGATGATGATGCTGATGATCATGATGCTGATGAAGTGAAGTTTTTGTGATTATGAACCATGTTTGTAAATACAATTAAGCTCAACTACATTGTAATTATGATGGTGATGATGAAGTTGGTGACGAAGATGGTGGTGATGGCAAAGATGATGGTGATATGACGATGATAATGATGGTGGTGATGATATTGATGACAATAATGATGATGATCGTTTTATTATAAATATATTAGATTTATTTTTTAACGCAAATTTATTCAATTTACATTCCGAATTGGGTTTAATAAATACAAAGCGGTTTATATAACACTCAAATAATAACAATTATAATAACAATGACAATAATTATTATTATAGGTATTGTATAAAAATAGATATATATAGAATATATATATATAGAATGTGTATAAATCGATATGAAACTACTAACTAACTCTTAACTAATAGGTCCAAGTTATTTAGATAGTCTAAGTTACTTAGATGTAATAAATACTCTGTGATCATTCAGTAGTTGGGTCTCATTAACTTGAAATCTGTTGGAGTGAATGGTTGAAAGTTCTGGTGGTCAGTGGTCGGTGCATTGGTCATCATTTTTAATATACCGGAAAGGTTCCACCGCTAATACAACGGACTTACCTGACTTACGAGACTGGCGCATGGTTTTCAGAGATCTCACGGTGATCAGTTGTGAAGCATTTCTTATCCTATTATATTAATAGTGTATATATATATATATATATATACATATACATATATATATATATATATATATATATATATATAATTAAAAATATCTATAATTATGTGTAATTAAAAATAAGGTAGAGGATGACATTCTGGAGTCGACAATCAACTCATCTGGTGTATCCACCCCAGCAACAACGAAAAACAATTTGTAAATGTCATTTGAAAATTATAAATGTCCTTCATTTCAGTTCAACAGAACTTAAATTTGTTAAGTAATTTTTTTAAGTTTCCGCTTTGAAATTTGTTCGTCTATTTAATAGTATTGAAAGCCTTTTATCAGAATGTCGGCGAAGGTTTTGGCTTCTTATGCATGGGACGTGATGGTGTGAGGTGTTTGTTGCTGACTTGTATTTTCTACATGCAAGTAGCTGATCGTCGTTCATTTTCAGCAGGTTTGAAGTACTCATTAAAAACAGATTTTTAGTCAATTGTTCTCGTGCGATGCTTATGCTTATTCTTTCCAGTTTGATCAATTAATATTATATAAGTTTTTATTAGTTTGTTGTTGTTCATTCGGTCGCAGAGATAAGACACATGATAACATACATTACTATTAACTTATATTATTTTGCTTTTATTAATAATAGTATAAGCAATAATAATTCTAATTACTTTTCAACTATTATAATATAATAACATATATATATATATATATATATATATATATATATATATATATATATATATACATACATGCTTAATTTCATTGATGCACAGTTTCATTTGTGGAAGAATAGATTACTGCAGTTCAATCCTCTATGGTACAAGCTTGTATCTTCAAAACTGCATACAGTCTATTCTGAACACTGCAGCAAGAATAATTGCTGGTGTAACAAAATATGAATCTGTTTCATCATTATGCGAAATGAGCTTCACTGGTTGCCAGTTTGTTATAGAATCGAATTCATAATTGCAATGTTTACAAGAGACAGTTTGATGGGGCTTGGTCCTCGATACCTTCAACAGCTGATCGTGCCTGTCCCTAGGGCTGCCGGGGGTCGAAAACTCAGATCCTCTACCAAAAAGAAACTCGTTGTTCCTAGGTTCAGGACAGAAAATTATGGACGGCGTCGTTTCTCCGTGGCTGCAGCGGAGGTTTGGAATAAACTGCCCGATGATGTCGTTGATAGTATGGATGAAAGAGACATGTTCCGAAAACGACTTAAACATCACTTTTTTGACCGGCAGCTTCTCGAACAGCGTCTCTGAGTTTTACATAGAGGGGCGCTATATAAATTCTCCATACCATACCATACCATATATATATATATATAATATATAATGATAAATAATAGTAATATTATTGATATTATTATTTTAGATATTTATTATTATTATTATTGATATCCCGCAAATTCATCAACATTCAGAGTAAAACAATAACGCGCCAACTATGTATTTGTGCAGACACACACACACACACACACATACACACACACGTGTATGTATATATATATATAATATGGTCTATTACCAACACGTATATATTTATATATAACATATATAAATATGTAAATAATTTTACCACACGCTGTTGAGCAAATTTTGATCTTAACATGGGATTGATGATTTTGACATTTCATCTATCGCAATTATATCATATCATATGTATTATATATATACAAATATATATATATATATAAATTTATATAAATATATACATAAATATATATATATATATATATGATTTAATGTAGTTTAATACTATGCAACGAATACTTTCTCCTTTTTTCTGTCTTCTTTCTCGCTATCTCTTCATTTGTGTTTATGTCTCTTTCTCTCTCTCTCTCTCTCTCCCTCTCTCTTCTCTCCCTCTCTTTCCTTCTCTCCTTTTCTCTATTATTATTTTTCTATTTATTATAATTTTTCTCACTTTTATAAAAAGAGCGATAATAATTTCAAAATATTTTTCATTGTTACTATGCTTATTAATTACTACTATTATTACTTCAACGGATGATCAGTAGTTACAAGCGCTGTATGACCTCACATCATAATCGGTGCGTGTTTCTCTCATCTCATTCATTCACCTATTCATTCATCAACGTACGTTATCAATAAATTTAAAATAACATTTGACGATGAAATATTCCTAATTTGTTGGTTAATTGATCACCTAATTTATCAATTAATTATTTTAATTATTCATTTATTTGTTTGATTGTTCAGTCATTCAGTCATTCAGTTGTCTATTTATAATTAATTCATTGAATAATTAATTCATTGAATAATTAATTCATTGAATAATTAATTCATTGAATAATTAATTCATTGAATAATTAATTAATTCATTCGTTCGTTCGTTCAATTCAATTCAGTTTCAGTAGTTTATAATTTAATAGATACTTTTCAATAAATTTACCATTCATGAATATTTATTTATTTATTTATTTATCCATTCATCCATTCAATCATTCATTCATTCAATCATTCATTCATTCATTCATTCATTCATTCATTCATTCATTCATTCATTCATTCATTCATTTAATACGTTAACAACACATGAATGCATGCACATTAAACTAACTCATTCACCGACAAAATGACTACAGGCAAACAACAACAAAAAGTATTTCGAAGAAAAAATTAGCTAGGATGATGTTGATGATGCTGAAGATGAACAGGCGGAAGAAAATGATGATGATGATGACGACGACAGCGATGGTGTTGATGATGATGATGATGGGGAGTTACGGAGCGGACGACTCAGATATGTCGCAACTGCAGCAAGATGTCGTTGGCGCTCTCAACAACATCAGAAGGTCCCTGGCTGCTTCCAATATGAGAATGATGGCGAGTTTCACTCATTATTATTGTTACTATTATTATTATTATTATTATTATTATTATTATTATTATTATTATTATTATTATTATTGCCACCACCTTCATCATCAGGTATCCGATCAAAGCTTGCAAACTGTGGCGCAGAATGCAGCCTCTCAGTGCCCCAGCAGTTATGACGTCATAAGCATATCATCATCGTCATCGTCGTCGTCATCATTGCCATCATCCATGCCAGCGTCATCGTACGGAAAGCTGTGGTATTCATTCGGCGCTAATACAAACCTCAATGTTGAGTGGGCCATGAGAGAGTTGTACTTGAATGCTAGCAATATTATGAGCTATCAGGTGATGATTATGATATTAATAATGATTGTGATTGTTATAATTTTAAAAGAGAAGCCTGGTTTAGCGAGCAACGTCATCTCCAACCTACTTCAAACTCCACCCTCCTCTTCCAAACGTTCGAAAAAATCTCCCCTTCTCGTTCACTTGAACAAATTTTCAACACTTCCACCAAAAGTTCACCCAGGTTTTCGTCGAGCACATCCAGCAGAAGCAGCAATTCAAAGGTGGGTGGTTCTTAATATCTGGGATGCTGTTAACGCTGAAGAAGTTCCAGTGCTGGCGCTTTTTGGTGTAAGACTGCCTTTGATTGAGGAGACCACCAAATTATGAAGAAAAGTCTTCCCGCTGTTTCATGTGCAGTTGGTGGAGATGCCCTCAGGTGGTGCCAATCCCACCTGGCGGACAGATCTCATATTATCGGCGTTGGTCGTTTGATCTAGGCACGTTGTTCTCATAATTGAGCTGTCGTTTCTGCAGGGTTCCATGCTCGACTCTCTGCAGGAAGCCACGTGCACCGCAAACATCTTCAACGTCGTCGAGACAGCCGGCCCTTGCTTCCATCTATAAGCTGCTAACATTATTAAACTTTTGGGTTTTGTTTACTTGAGTCGTCAAGTCACCTCAGAGTAAGACTGCTGAATCAAAGGAAAATCTCAACGTTATTTAAACGAAATATATGTAGATGTTTAGCCGCAACATGTTGTCTGGATGACGAACTTCAGTTTGTTTGTTTGTTTGTTCAAATTGCTAACAGGAGTCGATGGAGATCCTCTAGCATTGGTGACCTCGTGCTTTCAAAGTTCTCCCCTCCTTGAAAGATTTTTGTATTCAGATCGACTGAACCTGAAACGCATTGCCTGTTGATTTGAAAAAATTTAGCAAAATGTGTCCACAGTACCTGCAACATGAATATCAAAAGTAGCAAAACAACAACATTAGTTACAGTTAATAATGATAACAAACAAAAAAATTGGTGACTATGAAAGGAGCACATCATCCGAATGCTAATGTTGATCGATTGAAGGAGACAGAGGGCTAATAAAAATTGAAGATTCTTTTGAAAAAGCAATTGTTAACCTCAACAAGAACATTTTCAACAGGCAAGATAGATTAATTGAAATAATTGCATAAAATGATGAGAGTAAAAAGAAACCTTCAGTTTCTAAAGAAGTAAATAAAATTAAAAATTGTCATTTTATAGATAAAGATGTAAGCGAAACAGAATTTAAAAACCGTTTAAAAGATTAGCATGTAAAAAAGTACAAAGATATACAACTAGATGGTCAATTTTTTAATAATGCAAACAAAACGGGAAAAATTTGATAAAAACATGGGGAAGATCCAAAAGTTCAGAATTGAAAGTAAAACAAAAAGCCTTTTAATAGCTGCGCAAGATCAGGCATTAAGCACCAGATACTTCCACAAAACTCAAACTAATTGTTGATTGATGGTTGATGGCCTATGCAGAATGTGTTAGTCACAAACATGTTGAAATCATCAGCCATGTGATCTCTGGATGTTCTGTACTGCCATCAACTAAATACACCAAAAGAGACACAATCGAGTTGCGAGCTATATCCACTGGGTGATAAGTAGATATGTTGGATTAGAGACACGTGTAGAATATTATAAGCATGAACCGAAGAATATAGCAAACTATATCAGAGATATAATTTTATGGAACACACCAGTTATAACAGGTATAGAAAGATAGAAGCACACGGACTAGATATTATTGTCCAAGATAAAACTGAAAATATATGCTTATTGATAGATATATCTGTTCCAGACGAATCAATTGTTTTGCAAAATGAGACGGAAAAGATCCGTAAGTACAAAAATCTTCAAATTGAGATACAAAGAATGTGAAACTCAAAAGCTAAAGTTTTTTCTATAGTAGTGGGACGGTAGGAGTAGTCTCAAAAAATCTAGATAATGTATTGAAAGAATTTCCAGGAAAACCGGCGCTAGCTGAAATTCAAAAAATAGCATTATTAGAAAGAGCGAGCTGTGAAAATTGGGGAAATAATAATAAAATAATAATAATGAAAACTTCTTTTTTTCAGAAAAAAAATCGAAAAAAGGAAAAAAAATTCATTTGTTAATAAGAAAAAAAATTGTTAATGATTTAATTTATGTCATTATGACGACTCATAAAATGTTTATTTAGCATCTTCATAGAAAAGATTTAGTCATAAATTGTTCTTATTTCAATAAATGTCCAACAATTGAATTATAGCGTTTCTCGTAAATTTATTGATTATATCACCCGGCAAAAGTTGTAGCTTAAAGCGTTCTGTCAGTTCTTTGTGATGGAGATGAGGTCAAGCGTGGATACTTCGCAGGAAAAGATTTTGACAATGAAATCTTCTTATTTTTTGAGTAGTTTGACATTTAAATCTTGTATTTGTTATATTTGTATTTTAAAAGATTAGTTTCGTAGTGAGTTGTGAGTTCTAGTAGGTACACATTTCTATTTTTCGTTATGAAATGTCCGGGCGTATGATGGTTTGAAAATATTTGAAGTTGGTTTAACATCAGTCATTATTACATCTGCAAAGAGGTTCTGATTAGGCTTTTTAAGAGATTTCAACCAATCAGCCATTACTTATCCATCAGAGCCGCAAAGTTTGCACCGTGGATCATTCATTCGCTTCCATCGTGCCAGGTTTGCAGGCGTAGGAAGCTGTTGTAGAATGGCTTAATTGGCAAATTTGAAAATAGATTCAGGTAAATATTCTATCATCTGAGACCATCAAAAAATATTGGAATTGATATATGGCCTAGAACAGTTTTCATCAACAAACTTTCAGCTTTAAATTCAAAGAAATGTTTTTTTGGCTTTGTGTAAATGTTCAGTTTTTAATAATTGTCGGTGAACATTTTTTCTATTATCAATTCATCAATTTTTATATTTTTAGCGTTGGTGTTGGACCATACAACTCTAATAAACTCATGTATGATGTTTCTCATTAGAAGGAATTTCCTCATCTTAAGTTGTTTTGATATCATTTTGAATGTTGAAATATTTAAACCGTCTTGATGTTTTAGGAGGGCCATCTTCTCTTTAACACACGCATTTATTGGTAGATTTAGCCAAACTTTTACATGTTCCATGCTTTTGGAATTCAGATCTTATTCAATCCAAATGGAACAAAAATCCTACGACTTTAACTCAAATTGCATTTGTGAAAGACTGTATAGTTTGAATATTTTTAGTTTCATCTAAACTTCAATGTTTAAACCGAATGTAATATTTAGTAATAGTTCAAGTTTTTTTTTTACTTTGGCTTTGGTAACCTGATTATTCATTTGGAAATCATATATTTTTCCTAAGTATGCGAGGTATTTTTTTTATTTTTTAGATTGTAGGTTGATTTGCTTATATTTGTTACTGACTTTCATCATACTAAATGAGTTGCATTTATCTAATCTGACACCAAGCTGAGAATATTTCTGTCAGCTTTTGCGCGTCTCCGACCCCATTCGATGCAACTACTTCATCGTCTGCTAATTGCAACCGGTTACAACGTTTGCCCAGTTTGCACATGTAACCCAAATTTATAAATTCTGGCTTTTGTAAAATTCTCATTAACGTGTTGAAACACATGTTGAACAAAAGCGGTGACCACGTATCACCATATTAGATGCCCTTACCAACTCTGATTGGTTGAGTCCATTCGTCATTCACCTCAACAGAAATTTCAGATTATGCAAAGGGTTGTCAAAAATCTGCGAGAAAATTAACAATAATGAAATAATAATTTCAGATCGTGAACGCGGGAACATGGAGAGTTGGCTGTGCAATGAACAGATGTAACCAGAGCCAAATGCTGCTAGTATGTCTGATGACGCCGAGGTTGTCGTTGTTGTCGTTATTACTTTTATTACTATTTTAAATTATTTTTTTAGTTTTATAACTTCACTGTAATACGAGTTAATTATGAAGAACACAAAAGTTATTGCAATCGTTATTGAGTGGCGAGGTGGTGTGAAGGCTAGGGCGAGGATTCTGCTGCTGCAGCTGCACTGACCGGGTTCGAAAGCAAAGGAGTTGCAGTCTCCCATTACATGCAATGTGTGTGATACGAGGATTCACGCGTTATAATAAAAATAATAATAATAACAACAATAATGATCATGGCGATGATGGTTATTGAAATGAATAATAATTATAATAACAATTATTAAGTTATTTTTCATTATTATAGTTGTTGTTATTATTATTAGTTATGACACGAACTCAATGAGCCCGTACATAAAAGGAGCAGTATGTCAGTTGTGTCCGCCAGAAGCACCAACCTGCATGGAGATGTTGTGCTCCCGCGCCGGTGAGAACAACTATAATATTAATAATAATAATAATTTTAACATAATGACAACGTCAACAACAACAATAATAAAAATAATAGCATTATCAATGATTTTATAATACCATTTATTTGTGATGTTATTATTGCAATTGTCCTCATACTGTTGTCTTTGCCACTGCTTTCGATGCCATGAAAAATGCAGTCTACAGCTACAATAGATCTGATGGTAAATTATTTAACCTGGCTCGACTTAAAACTAAAACAAAAAAAAGACGCATTTTTGTTAGAGAGCTGTTGTTTGCAGATGCTGCTGCTCTAGTATCTCACTCATCGGAGGGACTGCAAAATCTCATTGAGGATTTGGGCTTACCATAAGTCTTACCAAAACCGAAATTCTTGCCCAAGGTAGAAACGAATTACCGGTAATCAACAAAGGTGATCATATTGTTAATGTGATAAATCAATTTACGTATCTTGAGTCAACAATTAAAATCAACTTAAATATGGGCATAGAGCATTCAAGACAAACTTCAAAAGCTTCAGAAGTTATGACAAAACTTTCAAATCGTGTTTTGAAAAATGCTAAACTTACTACAGCTACCTAAATACTTGTCTACAGCACACGCGTTTTGAGTACTTTGCTCTATGGCAGTAAGAGTTGGTCAACTTATATGTATCAAGAACAGAGATTGAATAGTTTTCACATGCACTGTCTGCGACGCATTAAGGGCATTTTCTGGAAAAACCGTACGTCAAATCAGGAAGCGTTAAAAATGTCAATACGTGCAGAGAAGACTACGCTAGCTTGGACATGTTCACCGTATGTCAGATGGAAAAATTCCTAAAAATATCTTTTACGCTGAGCTGGTCAGGGGTAAAAGAACAATCGGTTGTCCCAAATAACCTACAGAGATGTGTGCAAGCAAGACATTCAGACTTTAAGCGTTGATGAAGACCCTGGATGAAAATATTGCTCAAGATAGAACAGCATGGAGACAGAGTATTTGAGGTGGTATTTTGGTGGGAGAATCTAAAAGATCTGAAACTGCCTCCAAAACCTGCAAAAGAAGAAAAGCACCGCTATCTGTCAATCCTTCAGAAGAATTCCTTTATTGCCCTATCTGCGTTAGAGCTTGCAAATCAAAAATTGGTCTGTTCAGTCACAGAAGATCATGCAATAAATAAATAGGAATCATAAAGAGTGATGTCTTTCGAGACAGAAAGGAGCCATATATTATTATGTTAATGATAATTTAGGTTAAGAGGTTAAGTGAATGTAGGTCATATATAGATATTTGATAAAGTAGGTAAGCAATTATAATGATAGTTTAGGTGACATACAATAGGGACTGACTATTTAGAAGAGTTAGACAACTAGTTAAGCTCTAGGGAGCAAGGTCTCCTATTATAAAATAGGCGAGCACATAAGTTAAAGGAAGAATGATCTTAGTTATTTCTTAAACACTTTTTAAAACTTAACACATTCTAATTCATTTGAACAATCTTTGATCATCTTTACATTATTTTTATTAGCGTTATTCAATTTTACAATTTAAGTTTTGTTATAATAATAAACAATAAAAAATATTATTAACAATAATGGGTGAGTCGTTTCTCGTTCGATTTCGATTAATTAACTTTATAACATTTTTAAACGCCATCTAAAACTCAACACACCTAAGTCGCTATTAAAGTCAATCATCACTACTTTACATAATTACATAAACAACTTGGAGTTATTTAACGTTGAGCGAGCGAGTCTACATGAACAGAATGAATTTCTCAAGTACAAACAACGAGCTGTATGTTGTTCGTTCGGTAACCGTCGTAGAATGGTAGAGGGCGAGCAACATAACAATATATATATTATTGCAATATTTTTTTATCATTACTACTACCAAAAATATTATAGTTATTTATTATTATTATTGTGATTATTATTGTTATTGTTGTCGTTGTTGTTGTTTTCGATAATGGTGCGGGTAATGATGATAACAATGAATGACAATAATTATCCTTTAATCTTGCTTACCCTCTTTATCATAAATTATATCTCCATGACAACCGTTATCATTATCGTAATCAACATCAGCGTATCATCATCATGACCATCATCATCATCATGACCATCATCATCATCATCACTACCATCATCATCATTCAGCTTATAGAGTTTCCATGCCAACAACAACATCGGTCGTGATGATGATGATGACTACAATGTTTACGATGATGATGATGATCTTCATCATCAAATCATAATAATCATTATTTCAGAATAATTAATAAATATAAACAAATTTATATTTTATTTAAAAACTTTGATATATAAAACAATGAAAAATATTGATCGATATATAAATAGAAGGATGGATGGGTGGATGGATGGATGGATGGATGGATGGATGGATGGATGGATGGATGGATGGATGGATGGATGGATGGATGGATGGATGGATGGATGGATGGATGGATGGATGGATAAATAGATGGATGGGTGGATAAATAGATAGTTAAATTGAAGTTAAAAAAAATTTTAAATTGAATTCGAGATTATCAGTGACTTTTGTGATATTGGTAATAACATTATAAACATCAATAAAAAATTATTACATATACATATATAAAGATATACACACACACATATATATATATATATATATACATATATATAGTAATATATATACATATAGAATTTTTAGCTTTTGAAAGTTTACGGATGAGCTTTTCAATATTTCTAATAGTAATTTTATAATTATTATCTAATTTATTAAAATTAAGAAGAAAATTATTGGTGTTCATAATGAAGCATTGAAGAAAATGATTTTATTCTTAATTTTAATCAATTGGATAATAATAATAAAATCACTGTTAGAAATATTGGAAAACTCAACCGTAAACTTTCTAGAACTAAAAATTCGGTAGACTTTATCAAATATTGCATCAATTGTGGTCTCTTTCCAGCCTATATATATATATATATATATATATATATATATATACATATCTATATATATATATATATATATATATATATTTATATTTATTTATTCATAATTATTCATGTATTAAACAATAAAATTATGATTTTCTTACAATGAAATTACAGTTTTCATGTTAAGAACGGCGATCGTGATGAGGTGGGCGAGGTATTTAGTCGCATCGAATAACAACGATTATTATTATTATTATTATTATTATTATTATTATTATTATCATTATTTTTTATCTTCTTATTATTTTTATGATTCTTATTTCAACCGTGTGGAAACAAACTCTGATCTTTATATTTCACGTAGGCTACACATCTTGAGATCTTATTATTATTATTATTTTTTTTTGTATTATTGTTGTTGTTGAAATGTTTGTAATAGGGATCGATTATATTGTTGTTGATGTTGTGGTGGTGGCTGTTGTTGTTGTGGCTGTTGTGGTTGTTGTTGCTACTGGTTTCAACAATTTCATTTAATTGGACACTGCTGTCCGACACTTTATTTTTTTCTCTTTTTTTGAACACCACAACAAAAATAATAACAACTAACAAGAGCAAAACAACAGCAATCAGCCCTATACAAATGTACAGGACCAAATTGTTGTCATTGCTGTTGCTGAGAATGTTGTACACATTGTTGTTGTTGGATGTTGTGTTGGTGTTGTTATTCGCTGGTTGTGTTGTTGGCGTGATGCTTTTATCATTTTGTTGATTCAATGTAGTTGTTGCATTAAACGCCGTTGTGGTTGTTGTTGTTGATGTTAATGTTTTAGTTGTTGATGTTTTAGTTGTTGATGTTTTCATTGTTGATCTAGTTGATGTTATAGTTGTTGTTCTTCTTCTTATAATTTCTGTCCCGTAGTTATCACAGTCAAATCTTTGCGAATATTTCTCTACTGTTGTTGCCACTAGGTTGTTGTTGTTGTCGGTGATGGTAGCATTCTTACTCACACAAATGTTATTATTATTAATGTTATTATAATTATTACCGTTATTGTTATTGATGTTACTGATGACGTCACTCGTAGCGAGGTAATGATAAACATCATCAACATAGCAGCGAAAACCGTCGGTATTTATACCGATATCGATAACATCAGCCCATCTCGATATTAACGTCGGTAATTGGCAACTGCAACAAAATTTGTTGTTGTTAATTAGAAGTTGTTGCAGCGAGGGTAAGATCGGCTGCAGCGATGTTACGGTTTCTGTCGGTATATCGGTTAGTTCGTTGTCGTTTAGATTCAGTATTTCAACTTGTAGATTTGATGATGATGAGGAGGAGAAGGAGGAAGACGACGATGATGATGAAATAGATTTTTCTACGGTTTTATTCTCTATCTTAAATATACTCAAGGATTCTATCGAGTTAAACGACAAATTCAAATACCGAACTTGCATATCGCAATTACCGACGGATACGTAATTAATACGGTTTCCACTCAGGTCCAGGCAATCAATCGTGCCCATCCCTATTTTGTAACCATTTCCCAGTGACGTCAGCAAGTTGTTTGAAAGGTTCATCGTTGACTTTTGTGATGTGATGGTTTGTAGTTTTAAAATTTCATTGTTGTTTGTTGTTTGTTGTTGTTTCATTGTGTTGTTGCTGTTATTATCATTGCTATTATTGCTGAATTCCTTTGATACACTTTTAATGATGTTATTCGATATATCGATTAATAGAACCGAATCCAACTTTGATCCGAATATCGGACTATCCGTCAAATATTCAATCCTATTTCTGTTGATATATAGATATTTCAGGGATGGCATTGTGGCGGGAAACTTTATTTTCCGGATCTTGTTATCGGATAAATCGAATTCGCGCAAATTGTACAACTCGTCGAATGTTTCAGCCAATAACTCGCCCCCAATGTCATTTCTTGCTAAAATCAGTGACGTCATTGATGACGTAGGAAAGTTTCTGAGTGTTGATTGGTCGAGAGTTTTTATTAAATTACCCCCCAAATTTAAATATTCTAAATTGAAAAGATTTGAAAAAAAATCCGTCGGTATAACGGTTATCTTGTTATAAGTCAGATCTAACGATTTTAGAGATGTGATTGACGATAATACCGATATATTGTTGGACTCGAGCAAATTTTGAGATAAGTTCAAGCGAGTTAACGATTTGTACATAACAAAAAAGTTTTGACCGGTACTATAATTATAGATGGCGCTGTTATTATTATTATTATTATTATTAGTAGTAGTAGTAGTATTATTATTATTACTGCTACTATAATTACTGTACGATACTAATGTTGTTAACTTGTTATCGGCCAAATTTAATTCCTGTAAAATGTCGAAATTGGTGAGTAGACCGAAAATATTCGATTGCCCGAATCGGTTAATGCTTAGCTTGGTAAGTGAAGCTTTAGACATTTGTAAAAATGTTTCATCAATAATTGATGATTGTAATGATGATGACAATGGCGATGATGACGACAATGATGATGTTGTTGTTGTGGATGATGATGACGACGATGATAATGATGTTGAAGATGTTGCGGATACTGCCTTCAACTTAGTTAAGTGATTAAGGAATTGAATTAAATTAATGTTGTTGCTATTGTCATTGATGTTGCTAGTATTGTTGTATTTGTTGTTGGTAGTAATGTTGTTAGGGTTGTTAGTATTGTTGTTGTTATTGTTTTTGGTGCTGGTGATAGCAGTGTTGTGGTTGTTGTCAATCAAAATTTCAACATTTTCCAATGCCGAGAAATGGTCAACAAACAACCCGGGAACGTAAACTTCTTTTGAAAAACTCATCTTTAACGATTTTGGCTCAGAAGTTGTTAAACTATTGTTATTCTTGCTATTATTATAGCAATAATTAGTAGCACAGTTATTTATTATTTGTAAAAAAATTGTATTAACTAGATCAATGTTTTCGATTTTAGACAGAGTATTCAATGCTTCTGTTACTGTACAACTACCTGCAATGTTGTTGCTGCTATTGCTGTTGCTGCTGCTGTTGTCGTTGTTGTTAGCTATCAATAATGTGTTTAAACTCAAAAAACCAATTTGATCTTTTAAACAGCACACCACTTCAAAAGCATTCAACAAATTATCGGCCAAGTTGAGAACCGACAGTTTTTGTAACCGAGCAAACGTTCCTGTCTCGATTCTGGAGATCCGATTGTGAGAAATATCAAGCGTTATGATGTTGATGGCAAGAAGGAATGTACTATTATCTAGTTGTCGGATATCGTTGTAACTCAAATTTAACAATTCTAGCTGGTTTAAGTCGGTCGAACCGAATGCACCGGTTAATTCGGTAATGTTATTATACTGAAGATTTAATGATTTAAGAACAGTTAAGTATGCGAAAGAGTTCCGTGACAAAAACGTATTTTTATCATTATTTAAATTGTCATTATTTCTCGAAAGATCTAGAACTTTCAAGTTGCTCATATTATAAAAGACTTCACTTTGCACAGAACCGATACTGTTATCTCTCAAGTCTAAACTCTGCAGACCGATTAACCGACCGAAACTTGATATATGGACGAATCGATTGTTATTCAGTTTAATCATGGTTAGTTTATCCACTCTATCAAAGGCGTTTGTATCTGTAAAGTTAATCATGTTATCACTAAGATCCACATATAATAAATTTAGTAAATTGTGGAAGGTTTGATTTGATATTGTTGTCAGTTTGTTGTTGTTTAAATAGATGGATTCTATTAACTGTAGATCTTCGAATGAGTGTGGATCGATATTTGCTATTCGGTTGTTGTCCAGTCGAAAGGTTTTTAAATTGACACCCTGTGAAAAAGTTTTTCTGTCTATGGTAGTTATGCGATTGTTAGATAGATCCAAGTATTCTAACCGGCTGTTTGTTGATAAGAGCTGAGCCACATTTTTTGAAAACTCTGTGCCCGATTTAATTCGGTTGTGGCCAAGGTCGAGATGGTTGAGATTGAAGCATGGCGATATGAGTGATAAAAATTTGTCAGTCATTTGGGACATCCGATTTTTGCTTAGAATCAAAAATTCTAAAGAAGCACCAAGTCCCCAGGAGGAGGATGTAAAAGAAGACGATGAAGAGGATGATGTTGAACTGGAAAAATGATCTAAATTATTTTCAGAAATATCCAAATACTTGAGGCTTATAAGATTCTCAAATGAACTCGTACCGATGCCAGCCAATCGATTACCAGATAGAATCAAAGTATCGAGCATGTTCAACCCATTAAAAACGTTTTTTTCAATAGATTGTAACAAATTTTTTGATAAGTCTAATTGCTTCAAAGAATTCAGCCCTAAAAATGTATTTTCAAGTCGATCGGATAGCTTGTTACCAGCTAAACTGAGGTACTGTAAGTAATTTAGATTGATGAACAAATCGGTCGGTATTCGGGTAAGAAGATTATTGCTTAAATCTAGTCGAGTCAAGTACTGTTGTGAATAAAATGAGTTTGGTTCTATGTTTGATATTAGATTACCATTTAAAGATAGCGATATTAAGTATATATTTTTATTAACCGTTTCATTTGAGATCGATCTTATGCGATTGTTTTGCAGATACAAAAATCGCAAGTTCGCAAGCTCGGCAAATGCCAATGAGTCGATATTCTCAATCAAATTATTTGATAGTCCGATGTATTCGATGTTGTATGCATTCCGAAATGAATCGAATCGAATACTTTTTATTTTATTTCCATCTAAATATACATTTCGAAGCTTATCATTAACTATTTTTGCGTTACTACTGTTAAACGTTAAATTTTTAATCTGTAAATTTTGTAAAAATAAATTGGTGATGGACGAATTGACGAATATACCGATATCCACAACATCGAGAGCCGAATTCACACCGACTGTAAAAACATCTGCGTAATCCGGTAGGTTGAGAGAACTCGGTAGCGATTTCAACCAACCAAAATTATCACAGATGACGTACTTACGTGACGTCACTCTGACGTAACAACCGCATTTATTTGAACGACAAAAGTTTTTGGAATTCGGCACATCTCCAGCCAGGGAATAGTAGTAATAGTAGTAATAGTAGCCGTCCTCGTTTGTATTTGAATCGGTGTTGTTGGATGTATTGCTGGTGGCTGGCAGTACTGAGATTGTGAGCAATAACACTAACTGGTGGAGTAATAACTGAGCTATCCTAAACATTGTAAATACCATACATATATAACATATACTGATAACCAATTGAGTTAATGTCGATCCACTTTGTATATCTTATGAAATATTCTACATTATTCTGTATTATTATTAGTATTCCCTGTAGTAAAGTAACGTAATTACATCGTTATTATTATTGATGTTATTAGGAATATTATTTTTATTATTCGTGTTGTTTTTTATAAAAATATTATTAATAAGTTTTATTTAAATACAATTAACGAGGTTGCCGTTGTAATTAGATTAATTATCGGAATTCAGGTGATTTTTATAGTTTAAACTATTATAGATAATAACAATAATAATAATAACAATTATTATTATTATTGTTATTATTCAAACAAAATCTTTCGTGATTATCGATCATAATTAATTAATTGAATTGCATTCTTTTTCATTTTCTTCCGCTCATCTCATCACCATGCAAGCACTAGACTACAACAAACATTGCATTATTTTTTTTGGTAACAGAATGGTGGAGCAAATATGCGCTATAGATTTTTATTTGTGTATGTATGTATGTATGTATGCATGTATGTATGTATGCATGTATGTATGTATGTATGTATATATGTATGTGTGTATGTACTTATTATCACTCATTGATTTTTACATATGGCAAATAAGCCTGCGTTTCCTATGAGTTATAATTGGACCGGTTTCAAAAATTAGAGAGCTGATGTTGATGATGATGTTGGTGATGGCAATAATGATGATGATAATGATGTCGATTGTGACGACGGTAATAGAAGACATGATACAAAACATACACAACAGATGATACAGTACGCACAATACAACAACAACAAATGTGATACCATATCTAACACAATAAAATATACAAATAAAGATACAACAAAACAAATAAATATAGCATACTCTGAAATGAAGTTAATACGCAAATACAATAAAGACCCGACCAACCAAAACAACATGATTTTTCTGGTCCTTTTCTCTGGAACTCTCTACCTCTTTCTCTGACTACTTCTCCATCACTTACGAAGTTCAGAGTGGATCTCAAGACCCATCTGTTTGCAAAATTCATTGAGGAGCGCTGTTGAGCATCGCTGAAATGGCGCTTTATAAACTTATTGATTGATTGATTGATTGATTGATTGCTTGCTTGCTTGATTGCTTGCTTGCTTGCTTGATTGCTTGCTTGCTTGATTGCTTGCTTGCTTGCTTGATTGATTGATTGATTGATTGCTTGCTTGCTTGATTGATTGATTGATTGATTGATTGATTGATTGATTGATTGATTGATTGATTGATTGATTGATTGATTGATTGATTGATTGATTGATTGATTGATCGATCGATCGATCGATCGATCGATCGATTGATTGATTGATCGATTGATTGATTGATTGATTGATTGATTGATTGATTGATTGATAACGTAAATTACAAGCATGCACATTCTGTGAAAATGTTGTATTCAATACAAATATAGTATAACAATACAAAAGTACAAAATATACAATTTATAACAGAAAATCCAGCACAGCATACATCTATAGTATACAAACACAACGAAATACACATTACAATACATTTAAGTAATACAAATTTTGAAAAATACCAGAGTGACCAAACCACCCAGCCAGCCCTGATAACATTCACCAAAAGGTGAAAATTAAAAATAAATTCAAAATGGAGTCCGAACTGTTTATAAACAACAATTGTAAAAGTGGCAATAATAATAAAATCCCCAACTTAGTGCCATCTAACTTTACCATTCATAGATTAGTATTTAACAATAATGTCACGGAGTTGAGGAAATATTTAAATGAGAATAAGGTAGTGAATTTTAATTTAGTTTTTATTAAATTTCTTATTTGATTTTTTAAATTTTAAAAATTTTTAAATTTTTTGTTATTTGATAATTAAATTTATAAATTATATTTTAAAAGTTGAAAATGTGAATCCAAATTTCGGAAGCACATTAAAATTTCAATTAAGCAATTTTTTCAAATGAATGAATGACTAAGAAAAGAATGAATGTTGTAAGGTTTTATAAGAGAAGTCCCTCAGAAATGCAAATGAATAAATGAAAATGAATTATCTATTAAAATTAATTTATTTAATTATTATTTTTAATAATTATTATTTAATTAGTTTATTTACTTTTTTAAGTTAAAGGCTAGTTATCACTCAATCAATTTTGTAATTAATCAATGAATAAAATATAAAATAGATTATTATTAGTTAGATTATTAATTAAGATTGAGAGATAGAAAACTTAAAAATTAATCAGATAGTAAATAATGAAAAAAGTTTTATTTAATAAAAGAATTAACTAAGATAAAATTAATAAATAAAAATGTTATGTAAACATTTTTAAAAAACATCACCAACATTAAAATTAGGGAACCTACGATATCGAAGAGAGGGACTTACGGGGGAGAACACCTCTGCATCTTGCCATTGCATTGGACCACCTTGAAAGTGCCACTGTCCTTCTCGAAGAAGGAGGGGCCAGTGCGCTGGCTGAAAATGCCCAGAACTGGACAGGTAGATTGTCTACCATTATTTATATATGATGTATGTATACATGCACATACATACTTACTTTTAAGTATGCATACTTACATATACATACATACATACATAAACATATACATACCATATATATTCACTCCACTGAAAAGTAATGAGCTCAAACTTTGCTCTTATCTGAATACTTTCCATAAAACAATAGCAAAATATAAAAGAATAATTGTAAATAATAATAATGAAAATGTTTTAAAAAAGATAATAAATGAATATATTGCTGCCTATGAATACAGGATGATAATTAAAATAGTTAATAAATTCATACAAAAGCTATTTATGAGTATGTGAGTATGTATGTATGTTTTTTCGATTTTTCTCACTAAATAAAATCAGCTTGCACCGATGATGATTCATTCGGAATCGAAATATGGCCTTATTTGCAGGATGAATTCGGAAAATAAGTTTATTTTGAATTTTAATAAACTAAATGTTCAACAAAAACCTTTAGTGAGAAAAATCGAAAAAACGAACTACAAACATATTAACGCCAAACATTCGGTAGAATTTATAGAATATTGTAAATATATATATATTGTATATATATATATATATATATATATATATATATTTATGTTGGTAATAGACCATATATTGTGTATATATATATATATATATATATATATATATATATATATATATATATATATATATATATATTATGGGTAAACCATTACCCGCCATAGGCCAGATGTACATATATATATATATATATGTGTGTGTGTGTGTGTGTGTGTGTTAAAACTATTCAAACAAAAATGCCTGATCAGTGGTTCAGGAGGCAGTAGGTACGGGCGACCCGGAAATGGTGCAGTTATGTTTGCAGTACCGAGATTATCAGAGGCACATGGAGAGGGTGCATGGGGTGCATAAACTCCTGCAACAACTTGCTGAGGTGCCGGCTGGTGATGATGTTTTTTTTTTCTTTTTTGATGATGATTGTTTCTTGTAATTATTATGATAATGATAATCCTAAGGATGATGCCGATGATGATTTTTCTTATCTATTTTATCTTATTTCATGCCAGTCTCCAGATTTCTACGTTGAAATGAAATGGGAATTCACCAGCTGGTGTGAGTATGGGTGTGATCAAGTGATCAATTCAACAGATTTATATAATTTGTGTTTATTTATATTGTGTTGTATTATTTATATAATGTTTAACTTCAGAAGTGCAGTTGAGGAAGGCTTCTAGTTATAGCCAACATTGAGAAAATTTTCTAAATATCTTTGTGTAATATCTCCATCTACCTCACATAAAATCTGACGTAAATTTTGTGTTAATATTAATTAATGCGTTATCAATTTATTTTTTTCAAAAATCCATGATTCCTTTCTTGGGAAATTTCCTTGCTGTATCGTTGATGCGCTTATATATATATAACTTGTTAGGAAGCTTGTTCATTAGGTCATATTTTTGGTCGGTTCATCTATTGCGAGGTTCATTTGTTGTTATTGTCATCAGTGGTAGTATTAGCAGTAGCAGTAGCAATCGCATTTAAAGTAGTATCAGTTGCAGTTGTAGTAGCAGCTGTAGTCGAAGCAGTGGCAGTTGTAGTCGAAGCAGTTGTAGTAGCAGCTGTAGTTGAAGCAGTGGCAGTTGTAGTTGAAGCAGTTGTAGTAGCAGCCGTAGCAGTATTATAATTATTATTATTATTGATTGTAAATATATTTGTCCTGGTTATGACTGACCCTCACTGCCTTGTGAGTGATGTTGGATCATCAAAGGCTAGGCCCACCGCTTATAACTGTGGTTGCGTAAGGAAGGGCGTCCTGCGTAAAAATTAGCCAAATAAATTACTTATGATGACAGAAGTTTCATCATAGGTAGCCAAACGGCAATACCCGATCTCGGGGAAAATGTCGTCTAAACGTGTGTTGTTGTTGTTTGTTGATTGTAAATATATTTGATTGTATGTTTGCAGTGCCGTTCGTTTCAAAGATATGTCCGAGTGATAATTACAAAGTCTGGAAGTCTGGTTGGTCGATGAAATTTTTAATTATGAGATTAATTAAATTAAGTTAATTAATTTATTAATTTTTAATTTATTAATTTTTTTATTTGATTCATTGATAATGATGGATAATTTTTTTTTCTTTTGTTTTAAATATGGGCTTATGTTTATGTGTGTGGTGGGTATTTATCATCATTAACATCATCATTATCATCAGCGTTTTTAATATGTTTGTGTGTGCTAATGTGTTTGTTTATGTATTGTTAATTTATTCATTTATTATTATTTTACTAGTTATAGTTAAATTTTATTATAAACAGGCTCAAATGTTAGGATCGATACAACTCTACTCGGTTTTGATAACTTCACATGGGAGCGAGGGAGGAGGAGCTATATATTCAAATTGAATGGTTGGTCGCCTGTGATTGCTTGGTATTATTTGAATTTGAATGTTGATCTACTGTGATTGGCTTAAAAAATTTAAATACTGTGATTGGTGGAGAAAATTTTGAATTTGGTTTGTTAGACTTGTGGTTGGTTGAGAGAATTTTTATTTTGAGATTGAAGGTGTGATTGTCTGAGTGCATTAAAACTTTGAGTTATTGGATTGGCGTGACGTCATTGAACATTAAAATTTTTGAATATCTGGAGTGTTGTGATTGCTCGTCATCTGAATGCGGAGTTGTGTTGCGTGATTTTATGACTGAGAGGATTTAACTATTAGAAAGATCTGCTTTTATGGACTTGATAATAAAAATATAAGCTTTAATAACTTAACAACGATGATAGTGATTTACTTTGACTGCTGCACTTCTAAATCCAATCCTTACCTACTTGCTAAGTTTTTTTTTTATAAATTAAGAGGCATGCAAATGTTATAACAACCACTGCACACGACCTGCGTGTATATTCTGTTAGGCACTTGAACATGCAAGCCACAACACCATCGTACACGCGAGGTTCGTGTGGTTGTGGCGAGGTTCGTGTGGTTGGGGTGAGGTTCGTGTGGTTGTGGCGAGGTACGTGTGGTTGTGGCGAGGTTCCTGAGGTTGTGGCAGTCTTCAACATGCTCACAAACATCCAAACCCCAGGCAGGCAACAACGCATAGCAGCACCTTGAAACGCAATCACCCACCTACCACTTGAACTAACTCACATGCACCACCAACAAATACTAACAACAGCAACCACCACAAACCACAGGTTCCAACGTAGCGACACTACTTGAGGTCGACAACGACAACTGCCAGATATACAGCGAGACCTTGGACCCCTCCAAGCCACAGCCCACCATCTCTTACTTGTCGCCGTCCGGCAGTGCGGTGGCTGCCAGGCTGACTTCACCCATCGTCACTTCTTACGTTGATGTCGATAAGATATCATTCGAACGGTTCGTTGCTTGCTTGGTTTGTTGAGTGATCGTTGTTGTTGTTGTTGTTGATGATGGTGATGATAGACGGTGATGATGATGATGATGGCTGTGTTCGGGATGATGGTAGGGATAATGCAGAAAACCAAAATGGTCATGATCGTCTCCATGGTCACGGAAATCTGTTTAACGAAATGATATTAACATAAATGATGACGAAGAAAAAGATGATGATGATGATGGTAATGACGTCACACAGTACAAAATCAGGAGTGTGGGGGTGGAGGAATGACAGGACGGACATCGTTGACAACTTCACTTGCAAGGTCTTCTAAGCTTGCCTTTTATGGATTTTCCACTTCTTATTTGAAATATTTCATTTTTTAAGTTTTTCAACTTTGTTTAATTTTCATTCATTCATTCATTCATTCATTTATTCATTCATTTATTTATTCATTTATTTATTCATTCATTCATTTGGTTTTTTTTGGTGGGTTTGTCAGTCTGGCTCAATTCATTCATTTATTTATTCATTCATGTATGTACTGGCTGACTCATCCACCTTCACTCATTCACTCATTCATTTATTCACTCACTCGTTCACTAATTCAATTGCACATTCATTTATTTATCTAATTCATTCATTCATTCATTCATTCATTCATTCATTCATTCATTCATTCATTCACCAACCAATTCACTCATTCATTCCTTCTATCTAGGTTTTCAGTGCATCCAACGTGCAGTTTGTGACGAAGACTCGCACGGAGCACATGTCAGATGAGGACAAGAGGAAGATGAAGAAGCAGGACAGCAACAGAACTCCATTCGAAACTTTTCTGGGCGTTGCTGAGGCAGATAATACGGCGAAGGTTGGTTGGCTGGCTGGCTGGCTGGTTTGTTGGCTGGCTGATTTGTTGGCTGGTTGGTTTGTTTGTTGGCTAGTTGGCTGACTGGTTTGTTGGCTGGCTGGTTTTTGTTGGTTCATTGGTTTATTTTTTAGTTAAAAACTACTACAGAACAATAATAACAACACCGTCACATCAACAACATCAACATCACCACACCATCACATCAACATCAACAACAACAACATCATGGCACATTAACATTCACATACCCACCCACTCACGGCAGTCCTCTTCCTCTTCATCATCTACAATCACGTCGTCAATCTGTCGCAATCCGTGTCACGTGACAGAGGAGGAATACTTTTCCATCCATCCATCGACAACGTCATCATCAGCATCGCCAACGACATCATCATCGTCGTCGTCGTCATCATCGACATCATCATCATCAGCACAGCAGGCATCATTTTTTTCGTCATCATTGTTTGGTGCTACTCCAAATACTACTACTAATATTAATAATACAAATACTAATGGTAATAATATTAGTAGCCACGAAGTTGATGGTGGTGGTAATAATGTTAAAGATATCGGCAGGCCCATCGAACAGACTTGTAAGATACAAAAGTAGGGTGATGGTGATGATTATGATGGTTATGACGCTGATGATGATGGTGATAATTATGATGATGATGTTTGTGACGAAAGTAATGATGGCAATGATAATGATAGAGAAGATGATGATGATTATAGAGATGATTATGATTATGGAAATTACGATAATTTTAAGAATGTTGTTGACAATTATGTAAAGAAGAATAATAATATTGATGATAATAATGATGATGACGATAATGATGACGAAGATGAAACAGACTCAATAAATTAAAAAAATAATTTTTTGGTCAGCTGTTATTGATTTGATCTATTTTATTTATTAAAAATCCGCAATCACAATTTACAAAAACGAATAACGGGACCAAGTTAGACACAAAAGTCTTGTAAAAGCCACAGTGTAAAAAGGAAAATTAATTTAAAGTTTCTTTTCGTTTCCAAATGTGTGTTGGATCACTGACTGGCCGCAGCATGGAAATCGCAGAAAGGCTCGAGCGTAGAAGGATTGACATCTGCTGCCTTCAGGAAACCCGGTGGAAATCGAATGGTGTCTGTCATGTCAACTCAGACAAAGCAAAATATAAACTATTCTGAAATGGTCAAAAGACGGCCAAAAATGGTGTTGGAATTTTTGTCAGAGAACCGCTAGCCCAAGAAGTACAGGATATTAAAAGGATTAATTCATGTCTCATGTGGATCAAGCTTCGCATAGAAAAGCAAACATTGATTATTTTTTCTGCATACACACCACAGACAGGCGAATCAGAAGAGATGAAAAATGACTTCTGGACTGCATTCTCTGACACCATCTCAACAATACCAAAATCTGAAACAATCCTGATTGGAGGCGATCTCAATGGCCACGTTGAAGAGAAAACAGATGGTTTTGACAACGTACATGGCGGTTTTGGCTATGGAAAACGGAATGAAGATGGCAACCGCATCCTTGAGTTTGCTGAAAGTCACGGGTTTTGTTTACTGAATACATATTTTAGAAAGAGGTTGGAACATCTCATAACATACAAAAGTGGACCATCAGCCACGCAAATTGATTTCTTCGCTGTCAAGCAACAACACCGAAGGCTATTCAAAAACGTCAAAGTTATACCTGGCGAATCATGTGTCGCCCAACATAGACTCCTTGTGGCAGACCTGGTTGTCGAACTGTCAAA